TATCGCGAGCAGCTTGAGCAGCTTTATTCCCTTGATTGAACGCGAACAGAAGGAGGTGTTGAAAGTGCTCACTTTTGTCTACTTGACATTCCATTTCGAAAACCTGTAATTAAATAAAATAATAAATGTAACTAAAGGCAAACACAATATCTTGTGGAGCAGAAAATTTTCTTTCAAATGACGTATAACCTTTGCCAATGTGTTTTACTTTTGGCACACATTTTTAAATTTGAAAAAAACGGACACTACTTATGTTAACACCCAATATGTTATAAGGTTCAGCCAGCTTGAATGTCTGAACATTGATGGTGTTTTACCCTAATGGATCAGGTAATCCTACTCCTAGAGTAAAAAGGCATTGACTCTCTCACAAGAAAAGGAACTGGCTGAAGCAAATGAGCACTGGCTCATTTGCTGAGAATTGTTTAATGTTGGCTGGCAAGAGCAGGTCTTGGACACAGAGTTCTACAATGAGCTAGCTGCCTTGAGTAATGGACACCATCAGGCCTTGGATGCTGAAGATTGCTGCACATTGGTTCATCGGAAAGAACTAACCCATTTTGTCCTTTGGAAATCAAAATAAGGTATGATGTGCAGCAGCAGACCCAGTCAGTTATCTAAAATCACCAGTTTGCGACCTGAGGAGTTATTGGCAGTGATGGAGCAGTGGAGGACCACCATTTCTGCATCTGTCTATGGTTCCCCCAGCTAAAGACAAAGAACACACACGCCTGCACTTTGTATTATAAAACAATGGTCTCATTCTTTTGCTATGCATTCACTATGTCAGCAGTTTTAAAATTTTTGACAGAATACCCATGTTTTACTTACTCATGACTTTGTTTCTTTTAAAGAAGACTATTGGGAAATAGGAAATAATGCTAGTGAAAAAATATGCTGTATGACAGAAACTCAGGTGTTGGTTGCAACCTTTTAGTTGGGAAACCACTGCAACTGTGCATTCTCATGAGACAAAGCCACATCACTATAAACAGGAGCCATTTCTGCTGCCTTGCACATACCTCAAATCTACAGAACACTTATAGCAGACTTACTTTTGAATTTTCTAGTTCAATTAACTTTTCATGTGTTGCATATATACATACATTTTCAATACTGCTTATCCCAACTTGATGAGGTTGTGGTTCAAGCATGTCCAGGAGCATCCTCCATTGACCTCGATCCTAGGCAATGGACTCAAGCTCAGCTGATGGAATGATGAGCCTCTTGTGACAAAGTCAAATGATGTAAGTGCTCCACCTTATGCACAGTCTACCAACAGGTCTTTTGCCAGTCATCTTGGTCTGGAAGACTCCTCTTGGAAGTCTCTCAGAAGGCATGTGGCAGACATGTCCAACCACCTGACCTGAGACCTCTCAATCCTGGGAAGCAGCTGCTCAACATGGAGGCTCTAATGGGTGACAGAGTTCCACATCTGATCACAGCACACCACACCAGCCACCCAACACAAGAACCTCATTTCAGCTGCTTATATCCATGATCTGCTACTTTGGGCCATTACCCAAAGTTCATGACCATAGGTGAGGGTAGGGAGATAAACACTTGAAAACCAAAAGTTTTGTTTCCCTAGAAACTTCTGAATGGGAACAATGGTTCACCAAAGTTCTTGCAGAACTGCAAAAGCCCCAGAGGTGCAGCTGTCAATCTTGTTTCCTTGTCACCCATCACTCGA